AAGGAAGATGCCTTCCTTTTATCTGATAAAGATTAAAAACTTAACACGGTTATGTGCTAATATGATTTTATCGTTTCCGCTGTCTAGCTGGGTATGGTAACTTTACCTTTAAAATTGACTTTTACAAGAGTTCGTCATTTGCCACACCCTATACTGAGCAGGACTACCCTCTGAGCGTGCCAATCAATCAGTACTTGTATGTGAGATACAGTGTAGAATCCAGTGCTGATCTGGTAATAATGGCCGTGACATGTAAGGCCACTAAAACTGGAAGCTTTTACTCCTGGCCACAATACTCTATCATACAGAACGGGTACGTATAGTACTCAGACATATAGTTTTGAATGATCTCTCTGGTAATATATACAGGTTTCAGTCAATTTAACCAACGATTCTTTATTTCATATCACCTAAATTTGTTGCTACATTACGTTTCTGGGGGTAAGCGTAATCTCTATAGGACAAATCTTCGTAGAAGTAGTAGTAGTAGTAGTAGAAGTAGAAATAGACATCTATATTTATACAGGATAGCCCCTTCAGTGTAGTAAACACTGGTATCAACGGGGGTCCTGTTACCCACCCATCCCACCCCAGGGGAGGACATCCATCACACAGTAATCTCGTGCGTGGGAAATTAACGTCTCCTACACCTAACCCTGCAGGAGACGGGACCTCCATTTATTCGTCCCTATCCGAGAAGACTAGAATATCTAACCATATCTTGATGTTATAGAAAGGTAGCATATTTTTCTCAATTATTTTAAGACCCTGAGTGTTGGTCCGGCCGGGGCTCGAACCCTCGATCTGCCGCACAACAGTCCAGTGGTCTATCCATTGAGCTAACCGGGAGGCGTAGTGGAAACGGGAGGTGTAGTAGAAACGGGAGGTGTAGTAGAAACGTCGCCATCAACGTCCCAAGCGAACACACCGTGAGACGGACGATTACATTTCTCTTTTAAAGTGTTATTTACCACGATGACTAACACAACCTGTTTTACAAGTCAAGAAATATCCCTCAAATAACACTGAGTGTATATCATTAAAAAAAAAAAAGGAGAAAACCTTAAGATAATGCAGAATTAAAAAGAGAAGAATGTGCACCACTTAAGTCGTCGAGATGTACTCTTAATTATTTCATTCTCCTTTCTTTTACATTGTTAAGCTCCATGAGCTCAGGATATGAGCGCTATATAAATAAAGATTATTATTATTATTATTATTATTATTATTATTACTATTATTAAGAACTCTGTGAGATGCGATAGAAACATAAGTGAGGATGAGTCGACCGAAGGTCACGTGTTTCGAGGTTTATTTTATGTTTGTGATCTTTTTTCTTTCTCATTAGGTCTTCTGCAATTTGGCTTTCAAAGAAAAGATGCATATCCTGTGGTGGATTTTCATGTTAAGCACCGTAAGAAAGTTTTGTTCGTTTCTTTGCACGTTTGTTTTTCAGCGAGAGCCTGGCTTCAGTGTGAGCTTAAACGACTTCTTAAGAGCGTGACGCTATTTTTCACTTGACGGGTTTTGAAAAAGAAAGCAAGGGCAGGTGGCGTAACTGTTTCAACTTTTTCAACTCATAATTTCAGTGACTATTTGGTTTAGACCTTTTAGTTTTGACGTAACAAAACTTATGCCTTTTTTGGGATACTGAAAGCTTATATTTGTTTAAATTTTAGAGTTTGCTGACAGTACATGCCGATTTTACTGCAGTATCTATTACGCGGAGCAATTCAGATCTCTGCGAAAGAGGATCTTTCCTGACGGCGAGGAGAAGTAAGTTGATAACGTAAATGATTTTCCCTCATCGTTTACTTCCTTGGTTGTATTTTACAACAAGGAGATTTAACAAATGGTAAACACCACAGCGTACACTATTGAGTTATGGATGCACGCGGGAGGTTGCTAAGCACGAAAGAAGCGTAAGAGTCGCTCGGGGCGATAGCCGAGAGCGACTCTAGCTTCTTGAGTGCTTAGCAAACCTCCCAAGTGCATCCATAACTCAATAGTGTACGCTGTGGTGTTTACCATTTGTTTTATAACATAACATTGATACATTGTAGCTAAAGAGTTCCCTTTTATTTAACAAATCTTACGCGACCAGTGTCTTTATTTCTCCATTGTAACTTTGTATCCGA